ATAGTGAGCTGGGGCTACAGGGAGACCCTGTCTCAAAAAGACCAAAAATAAATAAATAAATAAATAAATAAATAAATAAATAAATAAATGACTGTGGTGGTAGAGGAGGGGGCCAGCCTGAGCAAAGAAGGGCCTGGAGCCAGAAGGTAATTATGAGAGAGGTTTCCCCGGAGGGAGCTTCGTGGTTAGAGGTGAAAGGCAGGGTAAGTGACAGAGCTGCTGGGCTGGACTTGTGGGTGGGAGGCAAAGGCCCAAGGTTCTGGGACCTGGAACCCAAGGTTAGGGCTGACTTACAGGTGGTAGATGAGTAGCTGGCATGACGGAAGAGGAAGGACTGGTGCTGGTCAGCCTCTGGCTCCTCAGGCTCTGGAGGGAAGGTACCAGGGGCACCGGGAGCCATGGATACAGCTGCTGGTGGAGCTCCTGACTCTGGTGTGAGAACCTCCAACTCCCTAGCTTTTCGAAGTTTCTCCCTCTTTCGCTGGATGGCAGCGACCCGTTCACGAACTGCACGAGCCACTGGCTGGTAGTCAGCTTCACAGACTAAGCCCAAAGCTACCTAGAGTCAGAAACAATAAGGGAGATAATTTGAGATTCCCATAAAGATCCATCAGGGATTGGAGAGATAGCTAAGTTAGTAAAGTGCTTGCTGCATAAGTATGAGGACTTAAGTTTGATCCCCAGAACTCACATACAAAGCCAGGCATGCAGGTTTGGAATCCCAGTGCTGGGGACGGGGAGATAGGCAGATCACTGGAGCTTGCTGGCCATCAAGCCTAGCCTAATTAGCAAGCTAAGCCCCAGGTTCCAGTGAAAGATCCTGTCCCAAAAAGCAAGGTGGATGACGCCTGAAGAATGAAACCCACAGTTGACCTCTAGCTTCCACACACATGCACATAACACACTCATTTGCAAAAGAAATCAAGACAGATCCATTAGGACACATTTTTGAAGTCACTAGGATATGAGAGGGAGGGAACTATTGATTAAACACCATATCTGTTAACTGACAACTTCTTTCACTATTAGTCAATAGCATTGTGGTATTAATTTGTTGTTGTTTGGGGTATGATACTGCCTCATTGGGTAGCCCAGACTGACCTCAAATTCTAGATCCTCCTGCCTCAGCCTCAAAACCTGGGGCTACAAGGGTGCACCACCACACCTGGCTTGATGTAAGTCTTGTCAGCCCATTTTAGAGATAAATCAAATGATCATCTTATGATGTAGAGTAAGTCAGTGATTGGGGGGTAGCTTGGCAATATCTAAAGGTAATTCAATCACAACTGGACAGCAGATGCTATTGCATCTAGTCTAGACAGCAAGGATTCTTGCAACAACCTACAATACATTGGGCAGTTTTTAAAACAAAAATGTCAACAGTTGCCAAGGTCAAGAATTCCTTGTAGGGCTAGGGAGATAGCTCAGTCAATAAAGTGTTTGCTATGCAATCAGCGAGCCAATGTTCCAATCCCTAATACCCTCTTGGGCTCTCTCAAACCAGCCCTAGCATCATCTACCTCCACACGTGTCTTCCTTTCTACCAGCACCTTCTCATTAAATTCAACTGTGAGCTTTGCTGGGTGAGTAGCAAAAGTGTGGCAGAGGCAATCCGACTTCAAACCTGAGCTGTTTGGATTTAAATTCAGCTCTGTCATTTGTTTACTCCAGAACTTAGACAAGACAGTCAACCTCTCTGAGCTTGCATTCCTTCATCGATAAGTTGGGATAAAATTACACACCAGGTGGGGTCAGAGCAAAGCTCAAATGCACCTGAAAATGCTTTAAGCCAGATAGGAGGCTAAGGAGTTTCAACTACCTGCAGTACAGTCAGGGATAGAAGAAAATCATTCTGCCTTGCTCACAAGTAGTTTATAGTCCAATAGAGGAGAAAGACCGGAATGTATTCAGGTGGCTTGAGGCTACAATAAAGGTCCAAGACTGGAATGCATTCAGGTATAAAACAAAACCTTGGCTTGAGGCTAAAGGCCCCCTCCCTGGTTTGGAAAGAAGCGTTTAATTTTTGACTGGGTGGGGGCGGGGGCGGGG